TACTCCTTCGACGACGCAGATCGTACCGCCTTACTGGGCCATGCCGGTGGAGGTGGGACAACTTGGACAAATCCAAGCTGGCGAAGACAGCGCTGCGGCATGTACGCCTCTACGATCTCGCGATACTGAATCAGTCCAGTGTAGAGGGTCCTGGGTACCCTATTACTAGGGTTCTGGCCGAAAGGCATCCAGTTCACCTGCACATTATTTAAAATCAGTAACAGTCATAAAATAAAGCATCAGATTGTAAAAGTAGAAATAATTTAATCACTGTACCTCTAAGGGGGACATCCTGTCAAGCGATAACCGTATGGAGCGCAGGCGGTCAACGGACTTCTTCTCGACACGCGGACTCCACGCACAGGCACGTGGCTGGCCATCACCAATGGGAACCGGGTCGCGGTGTGGTCGAAACGCAGGAAAATACTCGTATATCCAGGTCTGTAACAACGTCAGACATCCAGTGATACCTGCTGCATCAGCCCGGCTCGAGAATCCTAACTGGCGATACAGATACGCCAGCGTAGCCGACCCCCAAGAAAACTGGCCTACTCTGTCGGGCTCACACGCGTCAACTATGTCGCGTGGCCTGAGCTTGTTCCCGCTCTTATCCGGAAACAAGGTACACCCGAGAAGAAGAAAAACATATGCAGCCAGCTGTGTGTCCTGCGTCCTACGTGCCGTAGGGTGCAAACATCGCTGCAAGACGGCTGCGATCTTAACGCCGCCGTGATCCCACACACCAAGTGCCGATGTGTACAGCGCAGCCCTATCCACCGCCAACAGCTCCGCTAGTAAATCTGCCTGATCCGCATCAGTGACGACAGATGCTCGGTTTCCCTCCACGGGAATCCCAAGGATGGCCTCGACGTCATGCAACATGATCGTCATCTCACCGAACGGAAGGTGGAACGAGTTCGTATCCGGCTGCCATCGCTCAACGAAAGCCGTGATCAGCGTCCAGTCAATCCTATCGTGCATGGTGGCAGGAAGGTGACTCACTCTAGTGGCCCTCAATCGCCCGACCATCTCGCTCTCCTCCGGCCAAGCATCAGCCCAGCTACACAAAAACCTACAAGTCTTTTCCCGGGTTTGGCATTTCAAAATGCCTGTATCCAAAGCCCTCTCCTGGTCCTCCCAAATACGGGTAGCGATGTGTCCTAAAAAGCTAGGAATCACACTCCCGTCTATAGGTCCCCCGGCCACCTCACCCCTCACCATCCAAGAATCATTAACGGCCCTCGACCGTTTTCTGCTACCCGCAGACACAGTGGACGCAGATGATGTGCCAGATCTACTAACAAACCTACCATCTCGACCCTTACGCACATCTACCCTATGCGTCTCATACGTATCATCAAGTCTCTGACTGAATGGACCGTAATCATCATATGGTCCACTCTGATCGTCGACATCCTCATCTGCATCATCCTCGTCCTCGACCTCCTCCTCCTCCTCCTCATCATCATCATCATCATCTTGATCGTCCGCAGAACAGTGCACCCGTTCTCTGCGGGCCGAGGCCGAAATACCACGGGATCTAACGTGTCTGGGCCCCGAGCTCTCCATTGAGTAGATCGTACTCCTCACGACGTCAATACTCTTCCCCGCACCAGGTCTAAATTGCGATGCCTAACTCCAAGTAAATAACGAAACATAATAACAAAAACAAATTAAAAAAAGTCGAAAATAAACACAAAAGCAAATAAACAAGTCACGAAAATAAAATTATAAACATAAAAAATATAAAATTAAAACAAATAAAAAAACAAAATTTAAAAAAAAAAAGATAAAAAAAAAAGGGAACATACAATTTTAAAAAAAGAAAAACAAATTTTTTAAAAAAAAAAAAAAAAATCGAAAATAAAATTTAAAATTAAAAAAAAACAAAAAAAAAATTTTTAAAAAAAAAAAGAACGAGGCGCCTAGGCAAGGCGCCCGTACGGTGGTGTCGGCGCCTAGCCCAGACGCCACTACCACGGCCGTGGCGCCTAGCCTCTGCGCCGCTGCCGTGGTAGTGGCGTCTGGGCTAGGCGCCGCCACCACCGTACGGGCGCCTTGCCTAGGCGCCTCCTCCGTGGTGGTGGCGTCTCGCCTTGGCGCCCCACCGTCGCCGGAGGTTTTTTTTTTTAAAAAAAATTACAAAAATTAAAAAAATTACCTTCTGGCCGGCAAACCGCCTTCCGCCCACCGCCGGTGCCGCCACTTCCTTGCCGGGCCGCCTCGACATAGCTCTGGAAATAATTTAGAGAGAGAAAGTGGAAGTAGAGAGTAGAGAGAGAAATTGTGTGTTTTTTAGTATGAGGGCAAAAGTGTCATTTCACTCTTATTTTGTGGGCTTTATGTAGGAATTTGCGGGCGATGTTTAACAGTTCACAATATATAATGTTACCATTACTAGTTGTTTGATATTACTAAGGAAACGTAAACAATTATAACCAATCTCTTTCCTCTTGTTTGGCATAGATAATTTGGAAACATATAGCTTTCCTTTTATTTTTTGTTGTCTTGGCTAACTTTTTCTATACACTATACATTATACAATGTAGAGTAACGTACACTAATTACCATTATATATTTATGTTCTAAATTTTTACTCGTATGTTCTAAATTTTAAATCTGATGTTCTAAACTTTTCTCCAAGTGTTCTAAATTAAATCATATGTTCTAATAAATTAGTACTCACATGTTCTAAACCATACATTAGTTAAGTTAGATGTTATAAATTTCGAATGACTTATTCCGAAATTTTAACTTATATGTTCTAAATTTTAAAACGTGCGTGTGTTCTAAGATTTTTAGTAAAATGTTCTAAATTCGAAAGCATATGTTTCAATTTTTACTCACATGTTCTATATTTTTACTTATATGTTCAATATTTTTACTCCCATTTTCTATAACTTATACCAAGTTTTCTAAATTTTTTATTCACACGTTCTAAATTTTAAATCAGATGTTCTAAATTTTACTCATATGTTCTAAATTTCATAAAGCAAATTTTTTAAATTTTTACTCTCATGTTCTAATTCTTAAATCATATGTTCAAAATTATTAGTCATATATTCTAAATTATTAGTCATATGTTCTAAATTTAAATTTGAGTCGCATGTTCTAAATTATTTTCTCACGTGTTCTAAATTATAGATCAGTTCTCATATAAGTATGAATTCTCACCGTATCCCTCCCTTATATGTGTTATATATATATATATATATATATATATATATATATATATATATATATATATATATATATATATATATATATATATGCAAAAGTCACATAAATTATTGATTACAAAATAATTGAAATTCTAGTATCTCAAATTAAAATAAATAAATAAAAAAAAAGCATTCAAAAACCATTGAAACATTTTCTCCAATAACAACTTAGGACAAAACTTTCTACTTTTTCATGGGACGTTTTCTGGATTGACTTGTAGATTGAGTAGAATTCACAATTGCTTATCAATCTCTTTATCCATATCTTTTATAGCATCAACAAACGATTCACTTGCATCTCCGGTAGTTTTGTCTTTTGCGTATATCACCGCAAGAGTTTCATAGTGAATGAATGGAACTCCAAAAAACCCCTTAGCTTTCTTATGAGTCTGCCATATAAGAGATAATACAACTAGATTGATATATTTTATGCATATACTAGTTTCTGAACTAAACTCTTCGTTCAGAGTTAAGAGTTCAGATTCAGAATAGTCTCTCTGCTGTATGATTCAAACTATATATTCAAGTATTCAATAATAGCATAAAAGTAAACTATCCTTGCTCAGAGTTGCTCACCTACCTAAACTGTAAGTTGTAGACAATTTAGCAATGAAATCTAACTATGTAATAAGTGAAATATGAAAAAAAATTTCATGAAATTCTTGCACAAAACAAGCATGCATTCACAAGATGAAACAGGGGAATTAATGATATAAAACAAAACCATTTGATTGTTGATGGATATAGAATATAGAAACTAGGAAATAAATAAATGATTTACATGAAGATTACTAATTATTCAAGACTTAAAATCATGATCATCAAATTTAGAAGAACTATTTTGAGGCCTGAAAAACCATTTCCAAAACTTGTTATTCTTTCTGCATTTCATAGCAGCAAGATCAGGCACCTTTGAATGATCTGATGATGACATAGTAGTATTTTCATTCAGTTTCAAATCTATAAAAGCAGGATCATCATAACTCACAAATTCAGTCTCCTTAAATGAAAATATTAATCACTATATCCTATAAATCACACCCATGAAATGACAAACATGAACAACATTAATAATCTGCCTCAAAATAGTAGCAGCACACAATAATCATACCACACACCCAATAATCTGGAGTCAAACAGCAAAAAATTAGAGCAATCTCTCGGTCGATATCTTCCATAACATCAACGAATGACTCACTTGCATCGATCTCCCAAGAATATGTTTTATACTCTATCATGTTAGTGGACCAACTCAACCAAAAGCTTAAGCTGATGGTTGAGGCCGAAGAATATGTTTTATACTCTATCACTCCCCCTCACACGAGAGCCCGTTTGGGCTAGAAGTGTGGATGCAGCATGGGCCCTCCTCATACCCAGCGCTTAATATTCCACTTGAAAGTGGGGGTGGATGAGATTCGAACCCGTGACCTTTGTGTCACGCTGGCCCTGATACCATGTTAGTGGACCAACTCAACCAAAAGTTTAAGCTGATGGTTGAGACCCAAGAATATGTTTTATACTCTATCATTGACAAGTCGACAACCTAGCTTACAAACTGAACCACACATGCACATAAAAAAAACAACACAAAAGCACCAGATTTCTCCATACTACGTACCCATATTTAAAAAGCAACATAAAGGAGAGGGGCAACAACAGGGGAAAAGCAGAAGGAAAGGGGGAAGCAACAAGGTAGCAGCAAAAGAAGGGGGGGGGGGGGGCAGAAGTAGATGAGCAGCATAAGGGAAGGGGCACCAGTTGAAGACACAACATCAAAAGCAAGCAGAAGGGTCAAGGCTGCAAATTAACAAGCAAAATAAACAACCAAAATCAAAATTGTAACACCCCCAAAATTCAAGTCTTTAAAAAAACAATAAGAGTAACCTTTAACTTTCAAAAACCCAACCATCGAACTCTGGGAGTGTTACTGCTACACTTATTTTCCGTAGAAAATAAATGCAAAGCAAAAATTACATAATATTTAAATAAACGTCTAAGTTGTGGCAAAATAAAATAGTCATTACATCAAAACTGCAATTATTTTGAAACCAATAATGGAGAGGAAATAATTAAATTCGGGAATAAACTAAATTTTCTTAGCTACGTGATTATTCTAACGTCTCCTCACACGTAACCGAGTACCCTTTTACCAACCTGCAAAATAAATCAGAAACAAAAAAAGAGAGAAAACTCTCAAAAATCAGATAAACTGAGTAATTCCAACTCCATCCCGTAAAATAAATAATTTTAGTTCAAAACATTTTATACATAATATAGTCTTATAAATATTTTAATACTCAACCAAGTTCAAATAGTCACATAACATACTATTTCTTTATTTAAGAAAGGGAAAGAGAACGCCAGTAAGCCGGTACTAGTCCCTGTCACCACCTCCTACTTTACAGAGGGTCGCGCATTACCCCAAATGGCCACGAAATAAACAGAATGTCCCTAGTGTGCACACCCATCACTAATACCCAGTGATTAGGAGGAAGACTACAACAATATACAATAATTTAAACCAACTAGTAGCAACCATAACTACTAGAGGGCAACCTGTTCTTCCCCCTTTCGGGTTTCATTTCCCTTCTTAAATTAAATTTCACTGGACATTTTATTAAATTAAATCATCCAAGCAATTACACTGTACACAAGTATTGCACAAATCAATTTAATTTCAAGTAACAATACTTCAATTTGTGGATTGCTAAACATCGCCCGCAAATCTCCACATAAAGCCCACAAACTTATATTGAAGTTACAATATTGACCTTGACCTTAAAAAAAAAAACACAACCTCAATAAAAATCAAAGTACGGGGATGTCGAGGCTCGTGGCGGCAAGGTGGTTGGCTCGTGGCGGCAAGGTAGTGGTGGCTCGTGGCGGCAAGGTGGTGGTGGCGCCAGGTCCGGCAGCCACGTCCACCGGCCTGGCGTCTGGGCAGGACGCCCAGCCACGGTGAGTGGCGTTTGGGACAGGCGCCAGTCACTGTGGCTGGGCGTCCTGCCCAGACGCCAGGCCGGTGGACGTGGCTGCCGGACCTGGCGCCACCACCAGCCACGGGCCGTCCTGGCCAGGCGCCCCAGCTGCCTTAAATTTTTTTTTTTAATTTTTTTTTTTTTTGGAAAATCAGAAAATTTTTCTAATTTTTATTTAATGTGTTTGATTTTTTTTTTAATAATTATTAATTTTATGTGTTATTTTTTATAAGTCTAGTATATATATTTTTTATAAAATCAAATAAAAAACATAAATTTCCACATCCTAAATCAAAACATAAATTTAATAAACATAATTTAAAAAAAAAAAAAGGCAAAAAAAAATAAATAAAAAGTAAGGGCGGCGTCCAAACCAGACGCCAGTGCACTGGTGGTGGCGCCTGGCCTGGACGCCAGTGCACTGGTTGAGGCGCCTGGGCTAGACGCCAGTGCACTGGTTGTGGCGTCTGGCCTGGACGCCAGTGCACTGGTTGTGGCGCCTTGCCTGGACGTCCTTGCCATGGTTCCGGCGTCCAAACTAGGCGCCACCTCGTTTTCCGTCGAAGACGACGTATCTCCGGCGACCCTCGCCTCACTGGCCTCCCTGGGCAACCCAGTTTGACTCCACATTTGTTAGATCGAGATTTGTTCACTTTGGGTACGATTTTAGAAATGGGCAAAATTGTCAAACCATGTCTAATTTGTGGGCTTTATGTGGAGATTTGCGGGCGATGTTTAACAAATCCCTTCAATTTCAGTATTATTAGACCATAGTCATCCCACATGACATATAGACCATCAATCACGTATAATCAATCATCGAATACCCAAGATTATATTAAAAAAAACTCATACGATAACAAACAATCATATTTTTCGAAATTACATATACTAGTACACAAAATAGAAAACACATATATATAATATATGATTCCATAATTTCATACGATAGCACACTCAGCTCATCACATATAATTACATAAGCACGTATTTGACACATAACATTTCAAAATAATTTCCAAATCTAAAGATGATGGACATTGAAAATTACCTTGATCGCGCGTAAAAACTCAAGGTAATTAACCTCCGAAACGTTCACATAGTAGCCTCCGTCTACAAATAAACGAGTCCAAGTTAGTTTAGTGTACTAATCGAATTGGTTAGGCAACCTCATTAATCCTTGATGCCTATTACTAATACACCACTACGTAAAAAGAACGGAAGTAGATTTTTTTTTTTTATAAAAGAGATGTCTGCCAACTTTTCTAACTTTTTAGATCAATTACTCATCTAACCCCACCATTGTTGCTCGCCTAACCATTGTCTGTGATTGAAAGAATCATCTTACAATTTACAGAAGACCAAACAACCCCCCCCCCTTTTTTTTTTCTTTTTTTTAACAAACAAAAATAAATAATAAAAACCATACTCCTTAAAATGTGAATCGGAAGAAGCCATAGAAATATAACTCAAGGTCAAGGGACGAAGGTGTAGTTCGTGGTGGGTTAGCTAACAATTATTATTATCAAGAATGATAGGTGAAGAAGAATCATGGCTTACCACTATACTCAATCAATTATAGTTGGTGTTTTAGCAAATGACACAAACTAAGGGATAATAATCGGTTTGAGGGGAAAAGAAAGCTTCTTGGAGCTAATATTTTCTCATAGCAATTTGGGTGCGTGAGATTGGACATTTATAAACTTAATATTGTGAAGGTAGATTCATCCAGAAGGTCTTCTACAAGATAAGAACTGATTTCAAATAGAATTTGTTTGTTGTTTTTCTTTTTTATCCGATAACACCAATTCTAGAAAATAATAATTATAAATTCTATTAAAATAACATATATAATTAAAGTTTAAAAGTTTATACTAGCTAGAAAATTTGGGGTATTACAAAAATTCTAAATAAGCAACTTCCTAATGCACTTAAAATCCATAAAAATCCCCAACTATATAATCAACCCACCAAAAGTAAACCAAAATCATGGGAAAAAGTTAGGAAAACAACTCAATATAACCAGCCCATAAACACAACAATAGAAATTATATGACAGTTAGCAACAATTATCAAATTAGGGCCAACGTCAGTATCATGAAGAAGAGCATCAATCTGTCAAAAAAAGAAAGAAAAAAAGAGCCGCAACAATCATCGGTTAGCAATAGGAACAACCCGCTTAGTACCAGAAGAAGCATTATGACTGTTAACAGGAGTAGAATTCTCAACAGGGCACCCATTGGTTAAACCCTAAACCAATTAACCACAACAATTACAAGATATAATAACAATATATACCAATAAATTCAGCATAAAATCAACGAAATTTGAGAAATATAAACCCTAAGAAAGAGAAAAGAAAATTTCAATCGAACATGCAATAGAGAATTCAAACCAAAAAGCGACGAAATTGATATCGTATTAAGAATATGAACCCTAGAAATTGAACAAGAGAAATGACAGGTAATTATGAAATCGAAAATAGGCAAATTAAATAGCAATCCATGCATTTCAAGATAAAAAATACAAACAACCAAAATCTAAATCAAAATTATACAAATTCAACATTAATTTCAACACTAATTCAAAATCTAGGTTTCCTCAACAAAAAAATTGATACATAACAAACTTGTGTGTTAATATTGTTGATTTGAGAAAATTTGAGCTAGGAAAATCGATCAAATTGAGCGAAAAATGGAGATTTGCTCGATCAAATTTGGGGAATTTTTGGAGAATTATGGTATGAGAGGAGAGAGAAGAAGGTAGACTGGTAGAGTGATGATTTTTTGGGTTAGAAGAAAGTAACGTGATTTGTTTTAATTGAATTACTAGATCATATCGGAATTGGTACACTAGTTTTAATTAAACCTGCTATGATGTTAGGGTTGGTAAGTCATGCACATCGGAAGCAAATTAAAGATGTAGAGACTGATAAAATAATTTGAAGAAAGATAAAGGCAAAATAATTAAAGAGTAAGGAAATGGACATAATATTTAAACGGCAACGAGCACCAAATTAATCCACTATATGAAAAATAAGAGTGTACAAGAACTCTTTTTGAAAGGGTGATTAGTACAAGTTTCTCCAAACATAGAAACTCACAAAGGATTATTATATTACAAATAATGGGGAATAGTGGATTTATAGAGAAGGTAAATAGGTAGAAAATTATGAGGAGGTTAGATAAGTAGAAAGGCTTGTGTATAGGTATGGCTACTTGTGTGTGTATGTATCCTAATTGAATGCCCATGACCTATATTTATAGTTGAAGATGGAGCATGGAAGAAATGTTTGAAAGATTCTAGAAGCGCCTTCATAATTTTTGTATCCATGATATTCTAGAAAATTCATGAACTATGTTTCTAGTTACTTCCAATGTCAAGAATTCTTTGGATCATTTTAGAGACTTGCATGATACAAGCTAGTAGAAGAATTTAAAGAAATAAGAAACAATAGCAACCATGTTACATGTATCCAAAAGCTTCTAAAACATGAACAAATATGCTATCAAACAGTGGGCCTAAAATTTGGGCCACACCCAACATGTGAAATGTTAGTTATTTTGATAAGAAGAACTACTATAGTCTTGCTCTTAGACCATTTATCTCTAATGGTGAGATTCAAATGAGTATTTGTAGGAGAGAGAATATTTTTTGCAATGTATACCAATAAGTTGGTATCTAAACTTAGCAACTCCAAAAGAAAGTTGCTAAGTTTAGATACTCAACTTTGCGTCTCATTTGACAAAAAGTGTGGGCCTTATCAATATTCTAATATATTTTGTAATTTATTGAAGTTTTACTTTTTTTTTTTTTAATTTTTTTATCTTATAACAATTGATGGGTCATAAATTGAAAGTGACATTTGTATATTTTTAGAGAGTCTCACCATTGAGAATTTAGACTTCATATGAGTTGCTAAATTGAGAAGTGGGTATGTTATCACCATTGAAGGTAAAAAACAACTCATTTTGTATTTCAATACTCAAACTTGAGTCTTACCATTGGAGATAATCTTACCACAATAACTAACATTATACCATAAATGCGGAAAATAATATTGTAGACATGGCCGGTAAATTGTTCTAGGAAAAATTACATATAGTATAAAAAAAATATTAACAATCAACTTCATTGCTTATCCTTAGTTTGTATATTAATTACCCGTAAATGATATCAATAGTTTGATTATTGTTTGGGTGCACGTAATACACTAAAAGTTGCTATCTCATTCTACCTTTTATATACAAGGAAAATTATTATTATTTGTGATTTATTAATGGAATCCTTCATCCAATAATTACTAGAATCAACGTCAACATAACTTGTGACAATCAAATTAATTATTGTTATAAGTAGTATTAACCAATATGAGGAAATAACGTGTTAAGTTTTAAGGATTTTTTCTTATCCATCAATTTTATTTGAGGCGATAAGAAACATTAAACTAAAGTCAAATTACATGCATGTCGACGTGCGCATTATATCATTTATATAAATGAATGTGACATTGTGATATCATATATGACGAGGTACAAGTACAACAAACTAATAACAAAATTACAAAAGAAATCAACAATGTAATGTATACATTTAATTATTTTTATCTATACATGTTTAACATTCTCTAATACATTTATCACTTATTCCTAAACAACTTAGTTGATTAAAGTTTTAAAAGATGATATTCAAGACTTGAGATTACATTTGGTCGCCTAATCATATGTCATTATGACCTTTTCTACCCAACTTCGTAATAACTACCTTTTCTAAACCTAAGTAGTTCTAAAATATTGTAACTTTTTTTTGTCTATTTTGTTTTGAAAGGAATTCGTCAAATTGTCTTTTACAAGGTTTTGTTAGTATGCTTGTGTTATTCTCATTAGATCGAACTGATAAGATGTACATGCCTCTTAAATTTAGGTTGCTCGTGTTAAATCGTTATGTGAAGCAAGCATGTTATTATTATTATTATTATTATTATTATTATTATTATTAAGGGTTTTCTTCTTTAGATACTCGTCGTGTTGGAATTCTTGGAGGAATCCTACATCACTTTTCATGGCAGCAACATAGAGCTCCTTCATTTTCGTACTAACTCTAGCTATATTCTCCATTAATTTATGCATGTATGTTGGCTAGCTAGCTTAATTAATCTATATACTTCGTATTGTTTAATAGATTTTGTCTTATATTCATAATATCATATATATGATCTAGTAATATTTTAGATTATATTAGGTGTTGAACTATGTAAATGTTGCACTTAAAATCTTAATTTATTAAAGACTTTGAAGTCCATATTTTGTTTTTTTCTTTGATGAGTAGTAAGATAAATCAAACCATAGCTCGTTACGACTAAAAAGCTTTATCTAATAATTACACGAAGTTGACGAAATTATATTATATTGAGTAGGTAGTATACTGATCTTATATTGATTTGATCACTTCAAATTTATTGAAAGTAGTTGGGTTGAGGAGCTGAGCTTGCCATCCTTAATAAAAGTAATTTCTTGTATACTTGTGTTTATCCAGCTGTAAATCCTGTTGTAAACTTTATCCTTCATTTTTTAAAATACTTTTAAGAAAACTAAGTTTGTACTCTATAATGTTCCGTCAAAATAACTTCATTAAATAAAACAATTTCACTCTCTAATTTAAATAAAACACTCGTCTTATTGAAAAAGGAAAAGTTTGTTACAGTTGAAGAGCAATACAATACATGCATGTCTACACAAACTTGTTACTTAAACATTAAAAATGGAACCTTGGCGAGGCAATTGTAGATCACCACCTACTATAGCTCGATTGCTTTGGTTCGTTTTTGAACGCAATACACAAGAAGAGCACAAAAACTTGTACACAAAAATCACAATAGCATTTTTAGAAGGAATAAGCACATTGATGATGATATCTTTGTAAACTAGCAATATAAGCAAAGTGCATAGACCCAAAGTAACGTAAACCATCCATGCTTTAACAGGCAAGGTAGTTGCACACAAACCCGCCATGAATGTAAAAAGTGTTGTGCAAAATGATGCTAGGACCAATGTTACACTGAAATCGAGTATCATCACTGAATTCTTCCGGTTGTTTGTAGCCATGATCCAAAGGAGACAACATAAAACCATCATTGATAAGCACATTGCTAATATGTCTAATACCATAAAAAACTGAAACTCTAAGCTTTCTATTAGAACGGCTGTCCCAATATTTTCGAGTAGCCCACCAGGAACGGTGAATGCTGTTGTGAACAGTGGCGGATCCAAGATTTCCGAGATAGTGTGTCACCATCAATTATTGATCATTTGTGAAAGTACAATTTTTTTTTTCCATGTCTTGTTCATAATTAATTTCAATCCAAAAATT